AAGGCCCCATATCTTGAATTTTGTGATGCATTTTAATAGAATGAATCATGCAGCGAAAGAATGCACTCTAAATGCGCACGCGCACTAGTTTAACCTTCTAGACTTCATCACGTCATGTGTGCGTGCACGTTTTGTTTGGATTTTGCAATATACTCGATAATGTCAAACCGCACATTGTAAAACAACAATTACGAAATGTGTAGATTCAGTGGCGAACGCTGTTACCTGCAAACTCCGTCCCACAGGCTTTACAGTGAATACAGTGCATAGAGCACACTGCATTTTCATAGCGAAGCCACTCGAAGTCTTTCAACCATTCTCTCCGAAAACTGTACGCCTTCTTTTTCTGGCTGGTGGATCAACATTTACCACATGATCGCTATCACCAGCACCATTATTTGTAACTTTAGGTGGTTTACAAAAGAAATCTGTCAGTGTTCTTTTCATTCTATCTCTTCTTCAACCCTTTACATTCCCCGCGGTAGTTAGCTCCCTGTCACCTGACAGCGGAAAGCAGTGACAGTGATTGACAGCTAATATTAACCAATCTAAAATCTGCATTAAAGTTAACAATGTAAAGCTGAAGTTTAATTGGTTATATAACGTTTGATAGAATGGCAGATCGGTCACCGTATCAGCACTCAGAAGGCACATACTCTGATCGTTTTTAGAGATATGAAAACAGGTCGCACGACAACAATTATATGCACTCGCACAAATGCTCCCAAATATATTTTGAGGTCGCACAGATTAAATTTCGGGAGCATATGCGACCAAAATGGTAACATCACATTTACCTCAGAAAAACATATTTGGTGACCGTAAACTCATTAGTCAGATAGAAAAATAAACTGTATAGAGGGGCATTTTGCTAAATATATGCACCATATAACATATTCATTTTAAATTTGACTGTTCTTCAATGTTTATGTTTGAATAAATCCTTTTTTGATAGGCCTATCAAGTTTTTATGACAGCCACCGTTTATATATATAAAAAAAACGAATTGAAGTAGAAATATTATTATGTAATTGTAACTTTATTATTTTAAAAACTTCATTAAATGTAATTTTAACAAATCAGTCAATTTTAACCTTCAGTATTATAGTAATGTAGCACCAACTGACTCTCATGTATATTTTACAGCATTAGTTGAGAGATTTGTTTTCCCTTGAGAAAATTTGGCATGTACTGTACCTGATATATATCCAAAATAATCGACATTGAATCGAATCGAATCGAATCGCAAGCTTGTGAATGAGAATCTAATCGAATCGTGAAATTTGTGTCAAAACCCAGCCCTACTTGCATGTGAGGCCATTTTGATGCAAAGTGATGATGGCTGCACGTGTTTCTTTGGAGGTAACCATTGCTAACAAGAACACAATGATTGGAAGCGCTTCTTCCCTCCTTTTATTGCAATCAGTCTGCTTTTACAATCTAATTAATATGCTAGTGATTTCACCGGACTAGTACTCATTCACACTTTCAAATGTGCTGCTATGTTTAGTCAATTAATGTTAGCTGGTAATTTTGTGTCAGGATCAAAAAACAGTGACATTTTTTTTTTTTTGCGAAAAGTAAATTTTTTGGCCAATGAAGCTTTTAGCAATTATTTAAAATGTATCTGATCACTCTACACAATAATCTAGAAACAATGTGAATGAACACCACAACAGATTACACTCTTAAAAATAAAGGTGCTTCAAAAAGTTCTTCAAGCGATGCCATAGAAGAACCATTTTTGGTTCCACAAAGAACCATTCAGTCAAAGGTTCTTTAAAGAACCATCTCTTTCTTACCTTTTTATAATCTGAAGAACCTTCTTTTGCCACAAAGAACCTTTTGTGAAACAGAAAGGTTCTTTAGATGTTAAAGGTTCTTTATGGAACCATTTAGACAAAAAGGTTATTCTATGGCATCGTTAAGCAGCTTTATTTTTAAGAGTGTAAGCAGCAAACAATTTATGTCACTGCCAAAACTTTTGGCCATGACTGTATATAACAACTAATACTGTATATATATATATATATATATATATATACAGGTGCATCT